AGACCAGGAGTTGGAGGTTGCTGTGAGCTGTGATGCCACAGCACTCTACCCAGGGCAACAGCTGAGGCTCTGTCTCAAAAAAAAAAAAAAAAAAACAAAGAATGGGGGAGAGGGGGAGGGGGAAAGGACTTGGGACTATTCCACCTAACAGGTACAATGTAGAGGTATATGGCACACCTCCTGGGTGAAGAGCTCAACTACAACTTGGACATTACATCGTAACAAATGCTAACAATGCAATCTAATCAAATGTACCCTTACATTAATATACAATAAAAAATTATTATTCATAACATCAATTACCTCAGAGCTCAGAGCTAAGTAAATCAAAATATTGAAACAGGACCTACATTTAATGAATTAAATAATCATACACAGTTGTAACTAAAGCTTTATCTAGAGCTTTGTACAAAATCAGACACAAGCAGGATAAAATGTGGAAATCAAGTTCTGCCTGGGTTAACAACTTCAAGAAAAACTGTAGCTGATTTTTGCAGCACAGTACATCTAGTCTCACTGCTTCCAAGAAATAGTAGCTACTTGATGTGATGGTCCATTTAATTAGTTAAATAAAAAGGTATCAATCATTCTTCCTGCCTTTCAATGCCAGACTGCAAATGACAAAACAGATCCACACATATAAATACAAAATTCATTGCTGACACATGCCATTGTAGGGAGTGACATTTTCCAACTAGATCACAGCCAAAAACAAAAAAAAAAAGTCTCTGCTTCCAACTATTTCTGCTTATGCATTTCCCTTCAGACACCTACTGAAAATTACACATTCACCAACAGATACATTAGTAACCTAAAGATGCATTAACAACTTCCATTATTTAGCCATTTCCATTTGCAAAACACTTTCATAATCTATTAATTCCTTTGAGTCTCACAACAACCCTGAGAGATGGGTATAATTACTCCCATTTTACAGATGAAATAATTTTTGTCAGATCCCAAGATAGTGAAGCCAAGACTATAAACCCAATCTTCTAACTCCAATTCCACTGCTCCCTTTTCTTTCCTCCTCCACACAAAACAAGAGCATATCTTTGTTTTGCTTCCACCCTACCTACTCTCAGAAAGTTGCCCAGCTGGCATAGTGTGAGGAAGCAAAGTGGGAGTATAAACATTAATGTGGTCAAGGCAGTGGGGAACACCCAGCCTTTGCCTCTAGCTAGGCAGGCTTTTACAATCCATGTAACTGAAAAGAAAGAAATGGACCATGAGTTAGCCGATGGCTTTTGTTTCTACCTGTCCTATTTTTAGCTTTCTATGTTAGTAAGACACAGAAAATTGTAAGTATCAAGGAGCTCCTGGCCCAGGATGTCTTCATGCAAAGGTTTCAACCTGCAAAATTGCTGACTCTTACCACTTTTAGACTTAGAAAAAAAAAAGGAAAGAATAAAAATATTACCTGAAAAAAATAAAAACAAATACAAGCCTGAGCAAGACTGAGACCCCATTTCTACTAAAAATAGAAAAAAACTGCCGGCATCATGGTGGGCGACCGTAGTCCCAGCTAATTGGGAACCTGAGCCAAAGAGGATGGCTTGAGGCCAAGAACTTGAGGTTGCTGTGAGCTATGATGACGCCATGACACTGTTCCCAGGGTAGAGAGTCAAGACTATGTCTCAAAAAATAATATATATACACACATATATACATGAAATAAATAAATAAAATAAACAACAAAAACAAAAAAATAAAAACCACTACCTCCCCTTGCCTACAAAACTTTGGCCCTTCCCCAAATTTTCTTTCTTTTTTTTTTTTTTTTGAGACAGAGTCTCACTATCTCACCCTCAGTAGAGTGCCATGGCATGGACAGCTCACATCAACCTCCAACTCTTGAGCTAAATCGATTCTCTTGCCTCAGCTTCCCGAGTAGCTGGGACTACAGGCACCTACTACAATGCCTGGCTCTTTTTTTGTTGCAGTTGTCACTGTTGTTTAGCTGGCCCAGGTCAGGTTCGAACCCACCAGCCTGGGTGTATGTGGCCAGCGCCATAACCACTGTTCTATAGGTACCAAGCCATCCCCCAAATGTTTTATTGAACCTTTTTTCATAGAAATCTTAATCTCTCTTATATGCCTTAGCCAGTCATTTTTTGCACATACATTTTCAGCTAACCATTCACTTCACAAAGCCATTACCCTCCTAGGGCTTATGATAAACTTGGTTTGACTGTGGATACTGCACCAAGCAGTTTATTGTAATAAGTAAACAAAACCAAAGAAAAAGCCCAAATATTCCCCCTCTTCCTTTCATTGAACCCTCACCTTTCTAATTTTGTAGTACAACCTGCATATCCTTAACCTCTCAATGAACTCTTCTAAGGGGAGACATAACTCAAAGACTATAAGGATCAGCATTTCAAACACCCCATCTTTAAGGTGCTACCAGGAGTTTACTCTTGGTCAGGCCACAATAGGAGAAACCATTAAAAGATCTAACTCAAATCAAATGACCTGCAGGAACTTGTACAGTTTATATAGTCTGACCAAAAGTGAACAGATAACATGTGTAGGGAATGGAGGCGCCAAGGAACAAACCAGAAGAGCTGCATAAGAAATACCAGTTGGTAGCAGTTATCATCACTCTGCCCCTTCTAAGCCCTTCTCTCTGCTCTTAGTTGGCTGCATCTGACTAAGAAGGTACCCACACTGGTCTTAGACACAATATTTTGTAGATAAATCCACTGGAAACAAAGGTGTAAGCACTCACGACATATTTGCCAATGACTTTGACTTTATTTTTCACAATCATCTTTCAGCCAAGAGAAAAAAATTATCAGTTCACCCAATCATTGCCCTCCATTCTTCTGGATATATACTTTGGCACAAAGGGTAGGGTTGCCTACACTCTCACTGGGGATGTTTATTATTCTTTTTTTTTATTCCAAGCCTCCCGCCAACCAGCAGAAACAAAACCCCAAAACATAGTTGGGGAAGGAGGAAGCATCCCATAGCTGAGTCAGTCTGTCAGGTGACCACTGAGACAGCCAAGCTAGGTGAAGTTTCCTCAGCCCTCTGCCCCTAACCCTAGCCTTACATTTCACGCCCTAGAGACTGGGCTCCTTGTTCCAGAGAGCAGGCAGATCTTTTTTTTTTTTTCACTCTTAAGCAGAATTCAGGACTGTGAAGCCATCCCATAATCCTGAGTTTAGACTGACCTTGACCTTTAACATACCTCAGTATGTTAAAGAAAAATGTTGCTGGGGTATATAGGTGCTTTCCTTAGAAAATAACTTGCCATAGGGAATTTTTATTGCCCCTACACTTAACTATAAAAACCAGAGGCCAACACAAAATCATTATTAAGCTGCTGACCTTAATTCCCAATTCTTTAGGAGGTGCTGAGGTAGTTCCTTGGTCAGCTTAGAAGCCACCTTGCCCCAGAAAAGGGTGCTGAACATGTTTGACAGTACAGGCAAATTGTTCCTCCAGAACAACGAACAGTCAAGTAAGGATAATTACAAGCAAGAGGGTTCCTGGCGAAACTACAAATCCTATTTTATAAGATCAAAGCCAACAAAGAGAAAATCCAAAAGTTCTGGTTGTATCCACTACTTCCTACTTCTACTGTCCTCACTCACATTGGCCTCAGAGACCGCGGCTGGGAGTCATCCAGCAACCTCCCTTCCCCAGGGAGGGGAAAAGCTTAAAGGCCAGAGCCACTAACTCAGGGAAACAGCTCATCTAAGCCTTCCACTTACTTCTCATAGCGCCGATAAGTGCGTTGCCATCTTTGATCACATCTTTGATGAATTTATTGGTCCTCTCCAGCTCCTGCTCATAACACTTAAGCCTCTCACGAAAATCCGGGCTGTCCAGATAGCAGTCGCTGAACTCCAGCGGGGGATGCCCCATGGTTCTGATGGCGTAGGAGAAAGAGGAAAGACACAAAGACCAACAGCATCAGTGGCAGAGTGGGAGAAGTAAACCGGATGAACTGAGAGCAAGACCCACTTATCCTCCCTCCCTTTGGAGGATAGGTACCTATTCCAGTGCGACTCCTGGGGAGCCCTGGCTGGTAGGAGAACAAGCGGTCCTGCAGTTGGGGACAGGCTGAGCTAACTATTGCAGTTGGATCCCGGCAGAGTGCTGCCTAGCAAGCAGAATACCCCCTAAGCATCGCTCCCCCTGATAGGCAGCAAAAGCTGCAGCCCGGGTAACCTCCGGAAACTAGCCAGATCCTTCCTGAGCAATTACAAACGTAATACTTCGGTCAGCCCAGGGTGTAGGAGGGGATGGGCGCCAGGACAGGGGGCAGCCTCTCCTCGTTCTGGAGCTTAGCAGATTTCCTCTATGGAACTCCGCCGGCAACCCAGATTGCACTGTCCCCTCCCCCTTCTGAAAGCCAGCGCCTGGGCCCGCCCCGCCCCAGCAAAGCCTGAGCGCCAAGCCCCAGTACTCGGGCTCCTTCTTCAACTCTCTTCCTTGTACCCAAGGGTTGCTTTGCCAGGGCCCGCCGGCTGCTGGGAATTCTTCCTTGTCTCAGGGAGCCGACCTGTGTTCTGTTTGCCGCCAGAGGGTTTAGCCGCGGCGGTGATGAAACCTAGGCTTCCTCCACAGATACCGGAGCTGGAATAGGAGAGCGATGGCCCGACGCACAATAGCTGCGGTGGCCCAGCGCTTCCCTGCGGAAACCGGGGAGCAGTCAGCGCCCTAGGACTCCAGCTGGAAAGCGTGGCGGCCTGGGAGATGTAGTCTTTCCGTTTTCACGCCCCATGACTCCTCCCTGTGATCTCCCCCACCGCCCCGCTAGGGCGGTTACTCTCCCAGAACAGCATTCCCAGCCTGCCCCAGGCTAGCTGGCGGGGGACAGCCCCAAGGACAGGTGGGCAACAATGGAGTCTGTGGGGAAAGTTTCTGGAACTAGAGCCAGAACCCAGGAGAAATTAGATGATGGGAGGCTGTGTCTCACTTGTCATTATTCGTCTGAGTTGTGGATTCTTTTTTCTTAGCTTCTTACCAGCCCCCCTCGAACCTACCGTTTTTTTCCCCTCTACAGTTTTCTATTTCTCCCGCTTGGAGAATAAGCGCTCTAATTCCCATGGGCCTTATACTTGAAGGGTTGACTCCTACTGTAGAGTTTATTAGGCTCAGAACTCCCTACCAAAGAAAGGGAGGCTGTAAACTGAAGTTAACTTTTTCCTGAATAGGACCTCAGTGCATGGATTTTGTGACCCAAATAATTGCATAAACTGATAATTAAAGCATATTATTTACCATATGTAAGGGGAAAATGTAAGTAGAGAATGTTATAAATTGTCTTGCAGCTTAGCAATGAGTCCTCTTGTTCATTTTCTATTTTAGGAGAACCAGGGCTGCTCTTGAAAGCAGCTTTGTTGAGATTAAGAGTAGCTAGAGGCTCAAAAACTGAAAAATAGTGTGTACATAGGTAAAAAGAACCACTTTGGTTTTGCAGAAGTGTTTAGACTAGATTGCCCTTCATGGAAGGCCAAGAGAAGCCAGAATTGATGGAGATTGTAGTTGTAAACAGAATAACAAAGGCTAAACCACCTCTGTTAGTGTCCTGTTGCTGCTACAAGTTACTGCAAATGTGGCGGCTTAAGTCAATATAAACTTATGTTACAGTTCTGGAAGTCAGAAATGAGCCTCACTGGGCTAAAATCAAGATGTCAGAAGGGCATCTGGATACTCGAGGGGGAAATCCATTTTCTTACCTCTTGCAGCTTCTAGAAGATGTCTACATCCTTTGGCTAAATACCTCCCTTCCCTTGTCTTTAACACTACCTCACTCTCACTCTGATTCTCCTGCCTCTTTCACTTACAAAATCCCTTATGATTACATTGGGTACATGGGATAATCCATGATAATCTCCCCATCTCAAAATCTTTAATCTACCAGCACTCTGGGAGGCGGAGGCGCAGGATAGCTCACAAGATGGTGACCCGCCAGAGCTAGAACGAGCCCCCCACACCGTGAGAGAATCGCTTGAGCCCAGGAGTCTGAGGTTAGTGTGAGCTATGATGCCACGGCACTGCACCAGGGTGACAAAGTGAGACTCTCTCTCTCCAAAATAAATAAATATAGAAATAAAAAAAAAAATCCTTAACTTAATCACACATGGAAAGTTCCTTTTGCCATGTAAGATGATATATTTATAGGCTCCAGATATTAGGACATGAACATCTTTGAGGGGAAAGCATTGTTCTAACTACCACACAACCTATAATCCTATAACACACCTCACTAATCCTCAGAACAGCCCTATGAGATTGATATTAGTAGTAGTAGTTTTTTTGAGACAGAGTCTCACTCTGCTACCCAGGATAAGATACATAGTGTCAGCATAGCTCACAGCAACCTCAAACTTCTGGGTAAACAGTGATCCTCCTCCCTCAGCCTCCTGAGTAGTTGAGACTATAGGAGCCCACCAGGATACCTAGATAATTTTTCTATTTTTAGTACAGAGGGGTCTCACTCTTGCTTAGGTTTGTCTCAAACTTCTGAGCTCAAGAGATCCTCTCCCTTCAGCCTTCCAGAGTGCTAGGATTACAGGCCTGAGCCACCACACCTGACCATTATTATTATTTTATCAGTTTAAAAATGAGAAAGCTGGCTCAGCACCTGTAGCTCAGTGAGTAGGGCCTCGGTGGCATATACTAAGGGTGGCAGGTTCAATCCTGGCCCTGGCCAAACTGCAACAAAAACATAGCGAGGCATTCCCATAAGTATTCCCAGCACTTTGGAGGCGGAGGAGAGTGGATTGTCTGAGTTCACAGGTTCGAGACCAACCTGAGCCAGAGCCAGACCTCTTCTCTAACAATAGTTGGGTTTTGTGGCAGATGCCTATAGTACCAGCTACGTGAGAGCCTGAGGCAAGAAAATTGCTTAAGCCCAGGAGTTTGAGGTTGTTATGAGCTATGACACCAAAACACTCTACCAAGGGTGACAAAGTGAGAAACTGTCTCAAAAAAAAAAAAATTCTGGGCGGCGCCTGTGGCTCAAAGGAGTAGAGCTCTGGCTCCATATATTGGAGGTGGTGGGTTCAAACCCATCCCAGGCCAATAACTGAAAAAAAAAAAAAATCTTGATTAAATACTTGTGAAAGAAGTTCAAAGTACAATAAGAACATTCTTTGTTTTTCTCTTTTTTTTTTTTTGATAAACATGATTTAGGCTTGGTGCCCGTAGCACAATGGTTACAGCGCCGACCACATACATTGAGGCTGGCAGGTTCGAATCCAGCCCAGGCCAGCTAAAACAGCTATGACAACTGCAAAAAAAAAAAAAAAATAGCTGGGCATTGTGGTGGGTGCCTGTAGTCCCAGCTACTTTAAGGTGATCAGACGTCCCACTTTTGGCGGGACAGTCCTGATTTTTAACAATTTGTCTCATGTCCTGCAGCGTTTTTAAAAAGTCCCAATTTTTGGGAAGAATGCATGACAAGCCAGGGAATGGCAGGAGAATGGGAAGGGAATATACGGTTTTTGGCTGCCATGTGGCTATTTTGCCAGGATATGAGTTTTATACTATTTTTGTTAATTTCATAATGTTAAACTTTAATAATAACAAATAATTATTGAGAACTGATTATCAAGAACTGCTTATCAAAGTTCGCACTGTTGATCGGTTGTTAGAATTCGACAAGAAATATGCTAAAGAATAAAATAATACTATACATAATTTTTAATGTATTATATTTGTAAATTTTACTTATGTTGAAATTTTAAAAATATATTACAATACTATTTGTGTGTTCTATAAAAATTTTTGTTGCTCCATATAGACCAAATTTTTAATTAAGAAACACCCCCAGTCCCCAATCCCCAGTCAGTGGTGTCCCACTTTACCAATGTTAAAATCTGGTCGGTCACCTTAAGCTACTTGGGAGCTGAGGCAAGAGAATCGCTTAATCCCAAGAGTTTGAGGTTACTGTGAGCTGTGACACCATGCCACTCTACCCAGGGTGACATAGTGAGACTCTGTCTCAAAAAAAAAAAAAAAAAAAAAACATGATTTAAGATTTAAGTGTGCTGGCTCGGCGCCTGTGGTTCAAGCGGCTAAGGCGCCAGCCACGTACACCCAAGGTAGCAGGTTCGAATCCAGCCCGGCCCGCCAAACAACAATGACGGCTGCAACCAAAAAAAAATAAAATTGCCAGGTGTTATGGCAGGCACCTGTGGTCCCAGCTCCTTGGGAGGCTGAGGCAGGAGACTCGCTTGAGCCCAGGAGTTGGAGGTTGCTGTGAGCTGAAATGCCATGGCACTCTACCCAGGGGGACAGCTTGAGGCTCCTGTCTCAAAAAAAAAAAAAGATTTAAGTGTGCTTTGGAAGTTTAACTCTAGGTTCAAGTGTTACAGAATGGTAGAATCCAACCAGGAAACTCTTTCTGAAAATTAATCAGCAGCCACGTCCCAGGGAAAGATTTTGTCTCCTACTCTTTTTATCTTTAAGGTTTATATATGGGAAAATCCTCAAAATGGACTTTATTTATTTATTTATTTTTAAGACAGTCTCACTTTGTCACCCTCAGTAGAGTGCTGTGGTATCATAGCTCACAGCAACCTCAAACTCTTGGGCTCAAGCGATGCTCTTGCCACAGCCTCCCAAGTAGCTGGGACTACAAGTGCCTGCCACAAGACTCAGCTATTTTTAGAGGTGAGGTCTCACTCTGACTCAGGCTGGTCTCAAAGCAGTGAGCTCAAGCAATCTACCTGCCTAGGCCTCCCAGAGTGCTAGGATTACAGACATGAGAGTGCCTGGACTTTAAATGCACTGTGGATTGAGAAATACAAGTACTAAGGGAATGTGTCCAGTGAACATATATGTACAGTCTTCTGTGGTATGTTTCCTTTTAGCAAGATTCCTTTTAGTATTTAGTCATTCAACAAACGTTTTTTGAACATCTGCTATACGCTTTGACTTGGAGAGCTTATCCATATATTTTCACTACTATAAAAATTAACATTGCGGGTAGTGCCTGTGGCTCAAAGGAGTAGGGTGCTGACCCCATATGCCGGAGGTGGTGGGTTCAAGCCCAGC